CGCAGTGGTTAGCATTGGACGCTGGGGTCCTGGGTTCAATATCGGACCTTGGGCACTGTCTAGATGGAGTTTCTGCATGTTTGCGTGGGTTTCCTCTGGATGCTCCGGTATCCTCCTGCAGTCTAAAGCAAAAATTAAATTGGCTTCAGGGAAAATAGGCCCTGGCACAAGTGTGTGTTTGTTGTCCCTGCAATGGACTGGTATCCTGTCCATGGTGTAACCTGCCTTGCACTTTGTTGCTTACTGGGATTGGCTTCCCTTCCTTGGAAGGATGGATGAACTTGGAGTCATGCAACTGAAAACACAGATGAGAACTTTAAATAATAGTTTAATAATGAATAGAATAAGTAACAATAAATATCCCTCATCTGTACTCACAGCAGTATTTTAGTTAATATTGCTCACTGTTATACTAAGCTTTTAAACTCATCTGCTAAGTACATATGCCATTCCTTCAGAATTTTCTTTGTAAATAAACCCTAATATTGGACAACTATGAAGATTTCGCAGAGTCAGGGTGTTGTGTAAGCAGATGTTTGCTTGTTATTTAGAAAACAATGCATTTTTCCATGAAGATGGGCTGGATGCAGCTTTCTTCTGTTAGCATTTAAAAACAGACAAGTCCACTGTGCAGAATCTGTGAAAGACCTGCTCTAGGAAGTGTGCATCACTAGTACGTGGGGATCACCAATAAATGTGGATCCCTAGTAAGTGCGGGTCACTAGTAAGTGCGGATCACCAGTAACTGTGGATCACTAGTAAATGGAGCCCATCAGCCCAGTTCTGCGTCAGTGCCCCTGCAGCAGAATGTGTTTTCCTAAGCCTTGGGCTTGAGGTTATGTAACAGAGTGTGTAGTAAGCTGGTTAATCTTCAGCTGCTGCTGGTTTCAGGTCACTGGTGTGCTGAGAGCTGGGAGTCCGGAACCTGGCAGTGGGTTGAGTTGTGTTACTCTGTGGCTTGACTTGTCCGACTCCATCGTGCAACTCTGTTCTGACACTGCCGTTTGTAGTAGGAATGCCTCTGCTTCTTGTAAATCCGTGTGCAACTGGTTTCATCTTCAAGCCAATGACTGGCGGGCCGTGGGGGGTTTTGCGTGGGCGTTCCAGTTCGCATCCCAGCCAGACGGCGGTCAGTGCCACTTTGCGATTGCGGATTCCTTTCAGAGAGACCCAGTCGGTCTCTGGAAACAACCCTGCACGCTTCAACACCGCCTGTGTGCACTTGCGTGACAATCACGTCCTCCTCTGAATCTTCGTATATCCGAGGCGCAGCCGATGGAGAGGGGCACTGGCACAAGCAGGTTGGGGCAGACAGATGTCAACACTGATGTCTGTGATTTGCTCAGGAGATTGAGGGTCCCTTGAAATCCGTTGATGTTTAGGCCTTTAAGGGTTTTTCAAGCAACAGCCGTGAATATGATGAAGAGACGTGCTAGTTGTGCCCAGGAACCCAGAGGATCTTGGCTGTTTTCCCGAAGTCCACTTTCCACTTCGGGCCTGGAGTCTGGCCACAGGGCAGACAGGATAATTACCATTTACGCTCCTTTGCTGACCCACGGGGTCCTCTGGTGTGTTGTCAGATTTTCCATCTGGAGGAGCCTGGCTTCTCCATCAGTGCTATACCCTGCCTTGCCACCTCTTCCAGAGGCAAGATGGAGAAAGGAGCAGGACGAAGTTCCCAAACGGGGCAGAAATGCCACGCCAGCACTTTTTCCAGACCACCAGTTTCTTCAGATACTACCTCCTGGCGAAAGAACATGACAGCGCCTCAGAGAGGAAGACTGCTCTCACCTCCTTGGACAGCTGTCTTGGAGAAGGGCTAATGTTAATGAACAAATCTCCCCTCTGAGAGTGTTTTAGAGGTTTGGAAAAAAAACAGTTGGGGACAGAAATAACCCCGGCTTTGACAGATATTGACAGCGTTGGAGCTGGTTTTAAAAGTAGCCGTGGCCTGGCAGTGGGGGGTCTGGACCACACGTTGACACACACACACACTCTGTCTTCGAGAGGAGAGAGAAGAGATTGTGTAGCAGGCAGGCACACGCAGAGGGAGAGAGAGAGAGATGAATGGAAACTATGCTGGCGAGCCAGTTGATAACACAGCTGCTGCTCTGCCCAGCTCAGCTGATTTAGATTTTCCACTTCAGCAGCAAAAAATGCAGAGAGGAGGTGAGCAGCGCTGTGATTAGCGGGCGAGGAAGTGGGCCGCGGAGGGGGTGATGTCACCATTTTCCAGTCCTTGTTTTTCTCTCGGTGTGTGTGTGTGTGAGAGAGAGAGAAAGTGTGTCAGTGTTTGTGAGTGAGTGTTACAGGCAGGCTTGCTGGGATTGGGAGAGAGGAAGGCCCCGCCCACTGGGAGGGGTGGTCTCCTGTTGCCAGGCAACAAGCAAAGGGGGCGTGGAGTAGGGCAGTGCTAACAGTCTGTCCTATAAAACAGCAGTGCCTGAGAGCCGGCCTGTGTGTAGCTCTGTCAGAGACACTCATCTCATCCCCGGTGGAGGAGCTGGGGGTTCTGGAACGTTCCGCACACAAAGTCTCGAGATTTGTGTAATCCAAAGCGGCCGGAGACCGCCTGTCCTGAGCTTGCAGGAGTTTCAACTGCTGCTGAGACGCATTCTAGCTCTTAATTCCCACACCTCTGTGCCAGCAGGTTTGCATAAAGCAGGGAAAGAGGCATCTTTTAGACAGGGAAGCCTTTGCTTCTTGCTTTCCTGCCTTTCGAGACGAGAGATTGGACAGGGAAAGATCCGGCTGTGTCCTGCCCGTACAGGATTATTTTCCAGTGGGTTTCTGCTGTTTCTGAGCGAGGCGGCCGATTGCCTGAGAACGGCTGTCCTGTAGCGTAGAGACCGCAGGTGGACTTTGTCGAGAAGCTTTTTAGCGACACGGGTCGACCGGGATCTCTCGGTGGGGGCATCGCAAGCGGACGTCCGCCTTCTCTCGGCCGTGGTTTCAGAAAAGGCCCTGCCCTCCGGTGGTTGTGGGCTCTCCGCAGCTGCGCCATGCACCTGAAGATGCTGAAGTGCAACCCCTTCTCCCTGATCGCCTCGCTCGAGGACCGGGATGTGTTCTGCAGGCTGGAGGCCCGGGTAAGAGCACCTACAATACCTGCCTGGAAACAGCCCTGCGGCACGTTACTGTGATCAATTTGCATGGCTCTTTCTCTTCTTCTGCAGTGTATGTGGACCTGCCTTGCTTTTACAGCAGGCTAGAACAGGTTTCTTTGTCTGAATGCACTGCACTTAATCACAGTATTTCACACGGTAACCGTTTCTCAATCTAATGCTGCAGACCCCACACTCTTAACTCATTAATGTGCAAACTGAGACCTTAGATGGTCCGTAGGTCTGTCTGGAAGTTCAGAGGGAGAGGGAGCACCAGGGGTGAATTAGCCCTGCTCTATTGGAATAGCAGACTGTGGAGAGGAACCAGAGCAGGAATGACTACAAACCAGTGTAACTATATATCGAAGAGCAGCCAGCCTGTGCAGGGAAGGACAGGTGTCACTTCAGGTACTGCTGGAGAGAGTCCACATGGCTGTAGGATTTATCACAGAAGGACTCTTCTCCCTGTGTCCTGGGCTGAGGATTAACAGCAGGTCACCCCTGTGCTCTGGGGTTCGTTTTAACTGGCAACGCAATCTCGGGCTTTGACGTGGTTTTCCTTTTAGCACTTTTAAATAATTACCTAATCCGTGAGTCGCGAAGGCCTGGAGAGATTACTGCACTGTTGCGACTACTGTTCTGTAATAACGCCTCACTCTTGACCCCCCTTACTGGTTTGTTTTTTTTCTGAAGAGCTCTCTCTGCTTGCGATGTGGTAAAGTGTTTCTAGAGAGCCGTTGGCTCCGGGTACCAGGGGCAGACTTGAGCTCCGGCAGGGAGGAGGCTGGTTATGGACAGGCAGTGAAAGCTGAACTCAGCTAAAGTGTAACTTTAATATAGACAAGACTGGAGTCATTCTAATTTAAACGGTACACGCTTGTCGTATCTTTTGGGATCGACACTGTTCACAACGCACGGCTTCGTTAAAATGTGCGGTGTGGCGTATTGCTGATCTTATGCTCAATGTAGTTTTAAAATGAATGACGCCTGGTTGGCCCAAAGCCCTTGAGTTGAGTAAAGACTATTATTTACGCAGAGAGTAGTCATACCTCACGGAAATCTTTTGCATCGCCCTCTGTCGCAACAAAGATACAACGCCTGGATATGAGTCAAGTGCCAAGTGTATTGGAGTTTCTGAGCGAGGTCGGGAGAAAATCCGGGTTGAATCTCTTCTCTCCAGGCGGAGTGTGTATCGACACGATCTTTTTGTTTTCCTCCTAGCGAAATGGCATTGTAAGGCAGTCAGGCTTTTTGACCCTCTTCCTTTCTGTGTTCAGTATTGTTCAGTCATGAATCATTAGCCATCAATGGTGAAATCACTGGAAACGAGAGCCCGTGAACACGCTGCCCAGGTCCAGCCTCAGTGAAACACCCACATAAACCCCAGTAGTGCCAGTTTGTACGGGATAGAAAACACATTTTAGAGGAGGTCGCAAGGATGTTGAGGATGTTTAACCAAGATAAAAAAACGATAATGATTCGAAACCATTTAAATCCCGTAGTCCTCCTTTGACATATTAATGTACACACCGTAGAATAAGTGTTACCTTATTAGCACGCCGGATTTCACATATTATTTTAAAGATCTTTGTGATGTACAGCGCCATCTAGGGGCCGCGCCGTGTTTGGAACAGCGGGAGCGCTGCACACACACAAACTTTTTTTTTCCTTTCGCACACCCTCGTTTAGAGTTTGATGCTGGGTTTTAATTTAAAACGGATTTTGACTATCATGGGGGCAGGACAACAGCGGTTCCGTTCAGGAAGTGAACCTGCTTCCTCACAGTGATTGGCCGCGAAGGAGCCTGTGCCTCCTGTTTTCGACATGACAGACTGCCCTTCGCTCTCCGTCTTCCTCTTTGGAATCATTAACCGCCTCTGCCCCTCTTTCTCGCAGGCCGGTTTTGAGGCCCTGTTCCGCTCCTTCGACAGCGATGCCACCTTCCAGTATTTCAAGAGCTTCCGCCGCGTCCGAATCAACTTCACCGACGCTGTGGCTGCGGCTGAGGCCCGGGTGAGGCTTCACAAGAGCGACTTCAACGGAAAGGAGATACGCCTGTACTTTGCTCAGGTAAGGCAGGAGCCTGTAGTTCTCCACTGCAGTACAGTCCTGTAGATCTCCAATGCAGGGCCTGGTGTCTCAGTACAGTCATGTAGATCTCCACTGCAGGGGCTGGTGCCCCAGTACAGTCCTGTAGATCTCCTCTGCAGGGCCTAGTGCCCCAGTACAGTCCTATAGATCTCCACTGCAGGGGCTGTTGCCCCAGTACAGTACTGGAGATCTCCACTGCAGTACAGCCCTGTAGATCTCCA